TGCTGTCAAATTACATTAGGACATATATTTTATAATTACAATAACAAAATAAATTAGTCTCAAGAGCAATCTCTGTCTACACTCAAAATACTAGAGCTGTCAAAATGGGCAGCTCGGCCCGGCCCGATACGGATAGCAGACTCAAACGGATCGGGCTTAATTAGTCCAAGGTAAAAATAGGCTTATATTTTTACTACCCAAGCCTTACCCTATGCGGGCTATGGGCTTGTGCAGGCTGGTCCGATAACTCAAATAATTTTTTTTCTTATTTTTATAACATGTCATTTCTTTTACTATTTTTATAACAACAAATCATTTTTTTATTGCTATTTTTAGTGTTTGTAACATACCATGTTAAACTATTTTTGCAAGAACTTAATAGACCACTCGTTTTTTATGTCCAATTTTTGTATTATACTATTTATTTGTTTTTTTTTTTAAGTTGTAAAAGGCCATTGGTTTCTTTTTTTTGTTCTTTTTAGCGATGCAAAAATATATATTTAGACTTGTAATTTTAGGGTTTTGAAACTAAAATATATTCCTTTTCAAACTCCTTAAAACTCAAGGTTTAATCTCAATATATATATACGGACTGTTCGAACCCGCATGGGCCAACCTGGTTAAAGCTTTATCGGGTAGCAGGCTTATTCGGATCGGGCCAAAATGGCCCAAGGTAATTTCGGTCCTTATTTTTTTAGAGTTCAAACCCGCCCATTTAATGGTTTTTTGGGCCCAATTCATCGGGCCAGCCCATTTTGCCAGCTCTACAAAATACTGAAGACTTAGTCCTAGTTGTTATCATTGTGCCAACCTTTTATCTTAGTCACCTCTTTGGGAGTCTGGTCATTATCTTCTCCTAGGTCTGCAGAATCAAATATGACCTCAACACCTGTTATCCGTTCAAAAGCATACTGAGTAGGTCTCCCAAGAAAGCCATGATCAAGGAAAGTTTAAACATTATCTACAACTACTGAAGTCCTAACAGTCCCTCGGTAGATATATATATGCTAAGGGTGTGTCAAATTCTATTATTTATAGGATAATCAAAAGACACCATGATCTACATTTATTTCTACAGTCTATATACTACCTAGCTTATCATCACAGTCTATATTAAAATTAAAATAGTAAAATCTTTGATATTTCTTAAATACATAATTTAGTTTATAGCTAATAAGATAATCTACTAATCTAATTTGTCTTTGAGGCTTTGCCATCTTTATTCCTTGAAATGTTTAGTAAGGATGAACATCTATCTTATCATTAAATATAACACAATTTCATTATTAACCATCATAACATAATTATAATTTTGAAATAAAAGGAAATATTGTCACTACAACTACACAAACAAAGTCAACAACAAATTTCACATAATCTTATATAATCACCAATCACTACACTTTTCCTCTCAAGTACACACCTTCTTGTATACTGTGATTACAAATATTCGATACCTCTAACACTTCTTCAGGTCTTACATAAATAGGTATATAGTCACCGGTTAACTTATGTACATAGATACAACGTATATAATAATAGACTCTTTAGTAATAGTATAGTCATGAGTTTAGTCTGGAAACGAATGTGAGGCCATGTGATGCATTCGTTCTTAAAAAGAGCGTATACACATACGCAAATGTCACTTACCACCCTATGTTTCTCCAAGATTTTCACATCATCTCTATACTCTATACTTCTAGTATATCTTTATAACTATTTACACTAATCCTTTTCATCTTTATACTTAACCCATATTCCTTTTTATATCAATCTCATCACTTAACTAAAAGATTGTGCTTAGTAAAGCACTACGAACTAAGTCCAAATTACAGATAGTACAAGAATATAGTACTAACACCCAAAATCAATCAACATACATCATTAACCTTTCATCACAATTAAGTATCCAGACTAAGTCCTTATCACATGTTTCATAGAAATATAGTACAAACATCCAAATCAACCAATATGCATAATTAATATTCACAACACTCAAATATCATTCAATTACATATTCACATGTAAGAAATACATAATAGCACTCTCAAAAGCCTAAAATATACGCTATGTTATAATGACAAAATAGAACTCTCCTTACCTCAAAAGAAGATTTAGAAAGGAGTTTTGTGGAGCTTATCTTTCAAAGATAGAGTTTTTCCTAAATATCACAAAATAGGATATCCTTGAGAAAATAAAAAATGAAGAGAAGAAAATAGAGAATGGAGAATCAAACTCTGAGAAACTTACTTGGAGTCAATCGGATTGAACATTCAAGTTTGAATCCAATAAACAATTAGGGTTTAAAGGAGATTTTTCTAAGAAAAGAATGTAAGAGTTCAGAGAAAACATAACTTGGATTGTAATGTAAGTTTTCATGCTGAAAAATCTTTAAATACCTTTTAAACTCGCACGCTCTTTCTTGAGCGAGCTAATTATTGTTTGAGTGAGGAACAATCTCTGTTGGGTGAAAACATCATATAGTTGTCTTCTAAGCTTTTTTTGATATTCTTGCCTAAGTGAGGGTCATTCTTGCTAAGCAAAAAGAGGTCTAGAGAGTTGATTATTTTTTTCTTGTGAATCCTCGCCTGTGCGAGTCCATCTCTCCTGGACGAAAGGACAGTTGGGATAACTCTATCCTATCTCGTTTGGGTGAGACTCATTCTCACTTAAGCAAAAATGCTCTATAATCACCTAGTCTAGAATGCTCAGTCTCGCTTGAGCGAGCCATCCTGCAGTAACCTTATTCAAACATTTTTCAATTAAAATACAATTTCACCATAATTGATAGCAATTATACAATTAAGAAAAAGAAGAGTATTACAGTAAGACATAAGCACTTGATTAAGTGTGGAAATAACTCTAGAATATTTGTAGCTAGAAAAGGTAGTGTAAGATTGGTGTTTAATGGTACTACTTTTCTTATTCAAGATGTATATTATGTACCTGAGCTTCAAAATAATTTGTTAAGTATTGGGCAGTAGTAAGAAAAAGGCCCTACCATTCTCATGAAAAATGAGATTTCAATATTTATCATCTAGGCAAAGGCTTGATTGTACACACAAAAATGAATATTAACCGTATGTTTATCCTTCTAAATGAAAGATTCAACATCATTAGCTCTGTTGAAGAATGTCTACGTGCTTCTTTGGATCTCACTTACCTTTGACATCAAAGGTATGGTCATTTAAGTTATAAAGGTTTGAAGACATTGCAAATAAAGAAAATGGTGCATGGAATACTAATTGGAATTCTCAAATGTCCCTTGGGAGGATTGTTTTACTAGTAAGCAACACAATAATCAAATTTCCAAGAAGAGTGAATGGCGTGTTAACAAGGTCTTGTAACTCATACATGCAAATATTTGCAGATCCAATAAAGCATATCTCAAATAATGAAAAAGGTATATCTTATGTTTCATTGAGGATTATAGTTATAAAGGTTGGGTCTATTTTCTCTTTGAAAAATAAAAAACTTTGTAATTTTTCAAGACTTATAGGAAATTGGTAGAAAAAGAAGCAAAGTCCAAGGGAAGTTTTTCAATAGTTGTAAAGGCTATGTAATAGCCACTTTAAATTCAATAATCTTTGATTAACTTGCAAGATTTTGATATGATAGACCTAGGAAAGATGAAATTCTTCTTTGGCATTGAAGTTTTACAAAAATCAAAAGGAATTTTTGTATGTCGAAGAAAATATGCTATCAATATCTTGAAGAAGTCTGCAATATTTGAAAGCAAACCTATGAAAGGTCCAAGTGTTATTAAGTTCCTAATTATTCTGTTAGAATTTTTCTGTTATTGTGGTATCTGATAGAGATTTATTATATTGCCAACCCAGCTAGTTTGTTAGGTTTTTGTTAGATAAATTTTCTTTTCCTCTTGTTGTATATAAAAAAAACTCCTTTGGAGGATTCTTTTCAATAACAAGAATTATTTTCAATATAGCAGAGAACTACTCCTCCCTTTTCTTTTTGAAGAATTGGATTATTTTTGTGCACTATCAGAGGAATGCATGAATGCCATCCCCTGAGTAGCACCTTCAGTTAAGAGAGGTCCACCAAACTCCCTTTCTAGTTGAATAACAAGAGTGAGAACACCTTAGTTATACCAAACATCGATTCCATCAGCATTAATTGAGATCTTACTTGGGCAAATCCCTCATTGAGACCTCTAAGAAATCTGATTGTATAATTGTCTTCTCGATATTTCTTAACAGCATCAAGCACACCACATGAACATAGAATTGAACATGAACATATAGCGAGAGGTATGAACATTTCTAATTCCTCCTAAACATATTTCAATTTGGTATTGCAAGTATAAAGATCTTCTTGCAAATCAGCTATACGAAATTTGTCGGAGTGCGAGAATCTTTCCTTAAGATCTTTCCAAATATCCATAGCCTTATCCATCCATAGAACGGATTGCACTATCGGCTGTGTCATGATCGAAGAAGCCACGAGACCACTGTGGTGTTGCATCATTCCCAAACCGAGTACATTGAATCAGATTTTGCAGGAAGAGGCAATGAATCATCAACAAACTTAAGTTTGTTTTTAGATAGTAGAGACATGCGCATAGATCTGCACCACGCATGATAATTTTTGTCATTCAAAAGTTCTAGGACAAGAATCATGGCAAAATTCTCATTTGAATGAAGAAAGTATGGGTTTAATGGGTAAGTTAGGTAATCTTGAACAAAAGTCGCCATGAGGGTCGAGTGAAAGAGTAGAAGAAAGAAATTGCGAAAACAGCAATGAACCAGAGCTCTATTTAGAGCTCTTATACCATATTAGGAATAGAGATCAAGGTGAAATAGAAGAAAAAGGAGGAGGAGTTCTCTGCTATCTTGAAAATAATTCTTATTATTAAAAAGAATCCTCTAAAGGATTTTTTTTATATACAACACATGGAAAAGAAAATGTATCTAACAAAAAACTAACAAACTAGCTAGGTTGACTACTTTGAGATCTTCTTTCCAGTTGCTAAGCTTACCACAATGAAATTTGTTATTGCTGTGGCAGCTTCACGTTGTTGGTTTCTATACCAACTAGATGTCAATAGTGCTTTCCTTCATAGAGAGTTATCTAAGAAAATATATATGAACCTGCCCTTTGGTGTTTCTGGCTCTACACCCACCACTGTTTGTAAGCTTAACAAGTCACTCTACGATTTGAAACAAGCAAGTCGTCAGTGAAATTTTAAGCACACATCCACCTTGACACAACTTGGTTATAAACAAAGCTCAGCTGATCATTCATTGTTTGTTAAACATACTTCTCCTAAGATTATTGCGCTCTTGATTTATGTTGATGACATTGTGCTCGCTGGAGATGACTTACAGGAAATCCAAATTGTAAAACAGGTCTTAGATGATTCATTCAAGATTAAGGACTTAGGTTCTTTGAAAATTTTTTTTGGTCTTGAAATAGCCTGCTCTACTTCTGGGATTATCCTCAACCAGAGAAAATATTGTTTGGAGCTTATTGAAGAATGTGGGCTATCTGGTTGTAAACTAGCCTCCTCCTCCATTGACCCTTCCATGAAGCTCTATGTTGATCAGGGTGATCTATATCCAGATCCTTCTTCTTATCGTCGCCTAATTGGAAGGCTACTCTATCTCACAAATACTCGCCCTGATATATCCTTCGCACTTCAACAATTAAGTCAATTTATGACTACTTCCCGCATTCATCACTTTGAGCCTGCTACATGGGTTGTTCGATACCTCAAGGGTTGTCCTGACATTGACTTGTTTTATTCTTCTGAAACCTCTTCTCTTATTACAGCCTTTTTCGATTCTGATTGGGCAAGCGAGATTAACAATAAACGTTCTGTGACTGGTTTCTATGTTTTCTTTGGCTTTGGTCTCATTTCCTGGAAGACAAAGAAACAGTCCACTGTTTCTCGTTCATCATCTGAAGCTGAGTATCGTGCACTAGCTTCGTTGACCTCTGAATTACAATGGCTCAAGTTTTTATGTGATGACTTTCAGGTGAACGTTACTACGCCCTTCCCTGTGTATTGTGACAGCAAGTCCGCTATCTACATTGCTAAGAATCCAACATTCCATGAGCGCACCAAACATATCAAGATAGACTATTATGTCGCTTGCAATCTGGTCTCATACACCTTTTTCATGTATCTACCTCCAATCAACTTGTTGGTCTTTTCACCAAAGCTCTGCTTTCCATCACAAATTTTCCAAGTTAGGCCTCATCAACATTTTTGCTCCAACTTGAGGGGGATATTAAGTCACTATTTATTCTGTTAGAATTTTTCTGTTATTGTGGTAACTGATAGAGATTTATTCCATTGCCAATCCAGGTAGTTTGTAAGTTTTTTGATAGATAAATTTTCTTTTCCTCTTGTTGTATATAAAAAAAAAACTTCTTTGGAGGATTCTTTTCAATAATAAGAATTATTTTCAAGACAGCAGAGAACTCCTCCTCCCTTATTTTCCAATTCACCTTGATCTCTATTCCTAATAAGTGTTTTAGATTTTATGATTAATAAAAATGTTGATGGTGTGGTTGTGAATGACACTTATTTTAAGTAAATTGTTGGAAGTTTAATGCATCTTATTAGTAATAAAGCTAAATATTATGTTTAGTGTGAGCTTAATTAGCAGGTATGTGTAAAAATTAATTGAGTTGCATTTACAAGCTGCTAAAAGAATATTAAGGTACTTAAAGAAATTATTAACCATGAAATTTTCTCCAAGAAGGGAGAGGAAAAAATACTTAGAGTCTAATTATGTGGAGATGAAGAAGATTTTAAAAGTACACCTGATTATGTTTTCTTATTGAGTTTGGGAACATTATCATGTATGCCCAAAATACAACCAATCATTATTCTTTAACTATTGAAGTAGAGTTTGTTGTTATTGTTGCCTGTGCTTGTCAAGCTTTGTGGATGAGGAGTTTTGAGAAACTTAAATCATATTCAAGAAGGTAACACTGTCATCGTCTGTGATAATAGCTAAACAATTAAACTTTCATAAAATTCAATAATGCACGAACGGACATATTAGAGTACATTTTTATTTTTTAAGAGATATTACAAAAGCTGGAGAAGTCAAGTCAGTACACTGTGAAACTCAGGAGTAGGTTGCACATTTTATGACTTTAGCCTTGAAACCTAAGGCCTTAGGCCTTCCAAAAGCTCAAGAAGAAGATAGGGAATTTGATCTCAACAGAGTTGGAGGAATCGTGTAAAGAGATCTTTGCTATTACGATTAAGAGTAGATTTGATGTTACAATTTATTACTCTTAGTTTATTGTTGAGAATCATATAGTTGTACGTGAACTGCATTTTGCTAAGAGTTGTAGTATCTTAATTAATAGTTGATTTTGACAAAAAAAAATTAAATGTTCAGATTTCTTTGAAATATCTTAATATGAGATCTTTTAAACTAAATAGTTGGATAACTTAATTATCCTTGTTAATAACACCTTCAGATCTTTTAATGCAATGTTTATGGGATGGCAAATAATATGAATTCATATATCCCCGGTTTATGCTGAACTTATACAATATATATGATAAACAAAGCCTAGTATACAGTACAAATTTATCATCTTAATAATGCAAATTCCTAGACCACATCGGAAATCAACAAGAAACACGTGAGAGTAATAAAATAAAAAATTCAAACCAAGATGAGTCACCTAATCATCCATGGAAAGGAAATTCTCATTTTGTATCTGCCGATTGTCCTGCTTAAACTTTTTCATCAATCAATGACGTTTTTTTGTTCTTATTGTTCTTATTGGATTGAATTACTGATGTTTATTACCCGTTTTTCTTTAATAATTAAGAGATATGATTGCCTTTTTATTTCTTTGGATATATTATTCGGAGATGGTACCAGTAGTCCAAAATCCCTCTGCATGCAAAACGTGCAACGAGTCCACAATTGTTAAGTCGATGGCACATGTAAATTACGCACTATGAGAAAATAAATGCTCCAATAGAGCAAATCAGACCAATGCTCCAAAAACAGGTGAAAAAGTATGACCAGTTGGCGTGTTTCAATCTTATTCGGAGATGATACCAATAGTCCAAGATCCCTCTGCATGCAAAAGGTGCAATGACTAAACAATTATTAAGCCGATGGCACATGTAAATTACGCTCTATGAGAAAATAGACTAATGATCCAATAGACCAAATCAGACAAATGCTCCAAAAATAGGTGAAAAAGTATGACCAGTTGGCGTGTTTCATTCTTATTCGGAGATGATACCAACTTTCAAGCCACACCAAACACTGCATATAGCATCCTGCAAACACACTGAGAAGCAAGCAAAATCTCAATACGGTATCTCGTTTTTCTTTTGATCTTTGATATATATAAACAAGTGAAAAAATTGTGACTTTGTCTGTGATCATTATAATGCTTATCTTTTGCATTCCTTTCACATCTAATAGAGATATAGAGATATGATAAAACTTTGCGGAGATTCACTGGCCTGCTTAAATCATGAAAGGTCTTGTTGGGGGAAATTGGCTACGTATCTTAGGCAGGAAGACGTCGTTACCTTGCCTTCCTTTACGGTTTGGGTGTCCTAAAACGACCATTAAATTGTTTCCCCCACAGTTAGAGTAAACAAATGGTTAGTTCACCAAACGTTCGAAACAGTAGGGCCTAAAGGAAACTCCTTACTATGACAGACACTACAAGAATAGGTCCGCGTCTATAAGCCTACAGATTTTAGGAGTACTATTAAAAAATGATACAAATTTCTAGAATAGTCTAGAAAAAATACTAAGAACAATTTAGGAAAAACTAATTGTATCTTCTAGTATGTAGATGCTTCTAGAGAAAGTTCTAGAATATTGTAAATCTTCAAGTTTCTAGATAGCTCTAGTATATTGAACCAAATGGTGGATGATGCCTATAAATAGGCATGCTACCTCATTGTAAATGCAATGAAGAAGAAGTAATCATAAACATCAATTCTCCATCTCTTGAGTCTCTTACTAAAACTTCTTCAACTACTATTTTTAACTATTCCTACTAACACATTTCAGCTATCTTACTCATCTCACCCACACTAAAAACTATCAGTGGCATCAGAGCTACGTTCAGTCATCTACTGGGCGTAAAAATATTACCATACTATTTCAAAATTAAAATAAACCACTTCCAAAAATTTCCTAACCCATGACTAGCACTACTTAACCATCATCTCTTCCCGTCCCCATTTTCAATGGTAAAAATTATGATTTTTGGAGTACAAAAATGAAAACATATTTCAAGTTCCAAGATTTGTGGGATATTGTGGAAGAAAGATTCACTACTCCCTCAGACATATCATCCCTTACTGCAGCTCAAAGAAAAGAATTGAAAGAGAATAAACAAAAGGATTCAAAGGCCTTGTTTACTCTACAACAAGCTGTGACTGATGCAATTTTTCCAAGAATAATGGGTGCTACAACAGCCAAAGAAGCATGGAGTACGCTGCAGGAGGAGTTTGAAGGAAGTGAAAAGGTACGCGTTATAAAACTCCAAACTCTACGGCGAGAGTTTGAATTATTAAAAATGAAAAAGTCTGAGACCGTCAAGGATTACTCTTCCAAAATAAAAGAAATGGTTAACCAAATGAGAGCTTATGGGGAAAATATTCTTGACAAAAAGGTTGTTGAGAAATTACTGATCACAATTCCCCATAAGTATGATCCAATTGTCACCACTATTGAGCAAATAAAGGACCTATCTACTTTATCAGTGACAGAGTTGGTAGGGTCCCTTGAAGCTTATGAGCAAAGGTTGAAAAGGCATGATGAGAACTCAATAGAAAATGCCTTTTAATCAAAGCTCAAATTACGGTCTCAGAATAAAGGGAATTAAGAAAGAAAGAATAATGGAGAAACTTCTAGAAACAAAGAAAATTCTAGAAATTTCTCTAGAAACAATCAAGATAAATACCCTCCATGTGGTATTTGTAAGAGGACAAATCATGCTGAAGAAGAATGTCGGTATCGTGGAAAACCACAATGTCGACACTGCAAGAAATTTGGACATGTGGAAAAGTATTGTCGTAACAAAAACAAGTATCAAGCAAATTTCGCTGAAGAGGATGATCGAGAACCACATCTTTTCTATGCTACCCAAGATCTCAGTACTGAAACAAGCAGAAATTGGTACTTGGATAGCGGTTGCAGTAATCATATGGCCAAAGATATAAACATCTTCAAGGATATCGACGAATCCATCAAAGTGAAAGTTCGAATGGGGAACGGTACTATTGCTGAGTCAAAAGGCAAAGGCACTGTTATGGTGGAGACAAAGAAAGGTACAAAACTTATTACTGATGTCTTACTAGTCCCCAACCTCAAGGAAAATCTCTTGAGTATTGGCCAAATGATGGAGAAAGGTTATTCTCTTCACTTCAAAGGGGACACATGTAAGATATATGACAGCAAAAAGCAAGAGATTGGCCAAGTAAAGATGGAGAAAAGAAATCGAAGTTTTCCAATAAGCTTTCAACAAGGCGCTAATATTGCCATGAAAGCAGAAGTTGATACTTCACGACTTTGGCATCGAAGATTTAGCCACTTCAATACTCATGCCTTAAAACTACTACATCAAAAGAATATGATGAATGATCTTCCATATCTTGAAGAAAATAATGAAGCTTGTGAAGGATGTCTCCTTGGCAAGCAACATCGATTGCCATTTTCTACTGGAAAAGCTTGGAGAGCAAAAGACTTATTGGAGCTTATTCATACAGATATTTGCGGACCAATGCGGACACCATCACTACATGATAACAGGTATTTTATCCTTTTTATCGATGATTTTTCTAGAATGACTTGGGTCTACTTCATCAAAGCAAAGTCAGAAGTCTTTGGAATTTTCAAGAAGTTTAAGGCCCTTGTCGAGAAGCAAAGTGGTAAACAGATAAAAGTATTAAGAAGTGATCGTGGCAAAGAGTATACATCTCAAGAGTTTGATAAATTCTGTGAGGATGAAGGCATTCAACGACAACTTACTGTCGCATATACTCCACAACAAAATGGAGTAACTGAGAGGAAAAATCGCACGGTAATGGAGATGGCTAGATCCATGCTGAAGGAGAAAGAACTGCCAAATACTTTCTGGGCTGAAGCAATTTATACTGCTGTCTACATACTTAACAGATGTCCAACTAAGGCTGTCCAAGATAAAACTCCAATTGAAGCTTGGAGTGGGCAAAAACCATCAGCAAAACATCTAAGGATTTTCGGATCAATTTGCTACATACACATTCCAGAAGAGAAGAGACACAAACTAGAAGACAAAATCGTACGAGGTATCTTCTTGGGATATAGCACACAGTCAAAAGGATATCGAGTCTACAACTTGCAAACCAAGAAGCTCACCATTAGTCGAGATGTTGAAGTTGATGAAAATGCTGCTTGGAATTGGAAAGATGAAAAGGTTCAGAAAAATGTTTCCATACCAATTCAACAACCTCAAGAAATTGAAGAAGTCTCAGGTGAGAATTTTTCACCTCCACAACAACAACATTCCTCACCAGAGTCTACTCCAAGACGAGTTAGATCTTTGGTAGATATATACGAGACCTGTAACCTGGCCATAACTGAACCTGAGAGCTTTGAAGCAGCGTCAAAACAAGAAGTATGGGTCAAGGCAATGGAAGAAGAGATAAAAATGATTGAGAAAAATAACACATGGGAGCTAGTAGATTGCCCCACAGATAAAGATATCATTGGGGTAAAATGGGTCTATAAGACCAAGCTTAATCCCGATGGCACCATACAAAAGTACAAGGCAAGACTGGTAGCTAAAGGATACTCACAACAACTTGGAGTTGATTACAACGAGACATTTGCTCCAGTTGCTCGCCTGGATACTATAAGAACTCTGATTGCTCTTGCTGCACAAAAAGGATGGAACATTTATCAACTCGATGTAAAATCTGCCTTTCTCAATGGCATTCTTCAAGAAGAGATTTATGTGGAGCAACCGCAAGGCTTCGTCAGCAAAGGTAATGAAGGCAAAGTACTAAGACTGAAAAAAGCTCTATATGGATTGAAGCAAGCTCCACGAGCATGGTACAGCAAAATTGATCAATACTTTGCAGACCAAGGATTCAGGAGGAGCAAAAGTGAAGCAACTTTATACACCAAGATCCAAGGTCAGTATGATATACTCATTGTCTCCTTGTATGTAGATGATCTTATCTGCACAGGAAACAATGTGGAGATGATAACTAAGTTCAAAGAAGATATGATGAAGACCTTCGAAATGACCGACCTTGGCTTAATGAACTACTTCCTCGGAATAGAGGTAAAACAAAAGAAAGAAGGGATATTTATCTCACAGAAGAAATATGTTGAAGCACTACTCAAGAAATTTAAGATGAATGGATGTAAGACAGTTAACACTCCATTGGTGACAAATGAGAAATTGAAGAAAAATGATGGTGCACCGGAAGCTGATGCATCACGTTACAGAAGTTTGATTGGAAGCTTACTATATCTCACAGCCACACGACCAGACATAACGTATGCTGTAAGTCTTCTTTCAAGATTCATGCAAAGTCCAAGCCAAATTCATTTTGGAACAGCAAAAAGAATCCTAAGATATCTACAAGGTACAAAAGAGTATGGTATATGGTACCAAACTATGAGCAACTCAAAGCTACTTGGCTACACCGACAGTGACTGGGCAGGATCGATCGACGACATGAAAAGCACATCTGGTTATGCCTTTTCACTAGGATCAGGAACAATCTCATGGGCTTCAAAGAAGCAAGCAACAATTGCGCAATCAACAGCAGAAGCAGAATATGTAGCAGCTGCTGAGACTACAAGTCAAGCAATATGGTTACGAAGAATACTTGAAGAAATGGGAGAAAAACAAAATGAGCCTACTACAATCTACTGCGACAACAAATCAGCTATAGCAATGACAAAGAATCCAGTGCATCATAGTAGAACAAAACACATAGCAATCAAATATCACTTTATCAGGGAAGCAGAAGGAACTAAAGAAATCAAGCTCGAGTATTGCACAACTGAAGATCAAGTTGCAGACATTTTTACTAAAGCACTACCAAGACCAAAATTTGAACAGCTACGCACGAAGCTTGGAGTTACAGAAATTTGCATCAAGGAGGAGTATTAGAAATTGATACAAATTTCTAGAATAGTCTAGAAAAAATACTAAGAACAATCTAAGAAAAACTAATTGTATCTTCTACTATGTAGATGCTTCTAGAGAAAGTTCTAGAATATTGTAAATCTTCAAGTTTCTAGATAGCTCTAGTATATTGAACCAAATGGTGGATGATGCCTATAAATAGGCATGCTACCTCATTGTAAATGCAACGAAGAAGAAGTAATCAAGACATCAATTCTCCATCTCTTGAGTCTCTTACTAAAACTTCTTCAACTACTATTTTTAACTATTCCTACTAACACATTTCAACTATCTTACTCATCTCACCCACACTAAAAACTATCATGGTTGCAGAAGCAGCTCGATTTGAGTACATATCATACCGGGTTCGTGTCAACATCCGAACTGGTACCCCGTTTCTACCTGATTCTCCGATGTTAAGTTTGGAGAACAATTGGCGTAGTCTATCAAGAGCTGTTCAACAATCACTGCAAGGTACTTTTCAAAATAATGTCACCTTAACAAATCATCGCGGAGAACCTGTTATTGTAAATTCTTTGTCCAGTATTGTTCCCATTCTAGCACTGATGCTTTTTGTCTGCAATCCAAATGCAAACCAATCACCTCTAGTAATAAGATCAGTCGTGGAAAGATCAGAGACGTGCAATCCTTCTGAACCAACTGTACACATTGCTGGTCGAGATGGGATGTGCGTGGATGTGTCTGACAATGCCTATAACGACGACAATCCTATCATAATGTGGAAATGCAAAGACCAAGAGAAACAGCTGTGGACCTTGAAACAAGACAAGACGATAAGGTCCAAGGGGAAGTGTTTAACTACATACGGTAATGCTGTTCCAGAGAATTATGTCATGATATTTGATTGTACCTCCGCAGCAGCAGGGGCCACTACTTGGGAGATATGGGACAATGGAACTATTATCAATCCAAGCTCTGGCTTGGCCTTGAGTGTTGAATCCAGTGGCATGGGAAAGACACGTACTGTGCAAACAAACGAATATCGAATGCGACAGGGCTGGCGCACAGGCACTGACACAAGCCCTTTTGTAACTTCAATTGCTGGGTATTTGGATCTCTGCATGAAAGCTCACGGAAGTAACATGTGGCTGACTGACTGTGATAGCAACAAGAAGGAGCAGCAATGGGCACTTTACCCAGATGGTTCTATACGTCCAGTGCAAAACACAAACAACTGTTTAACTTCTGAAGAACACAAAGAAGGAGCTACCATTGTCATGATGGCTTGTAGCAATGCATGGGTTAGCCAACGATGGGTGTTTAGAAATGATGGTACCATCTATAGTTTATACGACGACATGGTGATGGATGTGAGACGCTCTGATCCAAGTCTTAAACAGATAATCCTTTGGACATGGACTGGTAACCCTAACCAAAAGTGGGTTACTTTGTTTTAATGGCTTCATGTCTGAGGAGGCAAATGCTATCTGCTGGTGTAATGTTTAAATAAGGGATTTTATCTACCCATGTGCAATAATAGTCAACAGCTTCATGCTGCCGAGCAATGTTTCTAATATGCTTAACAAGTAAATTTACGTTTTAGCAAGACCCTAGGCCATCAAGTGATCAATTAAGAGAATTCCGACTGCTTCAAATCAAAATTTATTTCGCAACCTAACTGGCTAGATCGGCACTAAAATCTTGAGCAATCAAGAGTACCCGGTACAATCGGAAAGCTAAAATCATAATTAGAACAATGGAAATTTTGAAAACAAGGTTTTTATTTCTTGAATTTCGGCCACAGATATGGATTCACCCGTACAAAACCATTCAACTTTTCTTAAAGTGTTGCATTACTTTAACTTAAATAATAATCTAATAAGCTGACAACGGATTAAAAATAGTTGAAAATGATAATTGAAGAAGTTTTAATAAGATATTTATTTATGGACAAGTGTACTCGTAAAAAAGTAATGAAGTATTTTAAGTTCTCAAGTTATTGTCATATAGAAATTATTTTCATGTACTAAGAACAAATTAATTTAATTGTTTAAACTAAATGATATATGATAAATTAAAATGAGAAGAATTCAAATTTAAAAAACAATTAAAAAGACAATAATGCAACTTTTTACAGAAATTGGATGAGATAATTCCAGAGCATATGATTTCATCTATTGCACCTCTCTATATTTTAATTATTTTAATTCCAATATTGGTATCCTATGTTTGTCAACCACACATACTTATTCTATTAACACTCAATGATCTTACAATGTTAATATTCTTTTTCTTAGGCAATTATCCTCGATAATTATGGAAGAAAAAATGTGAAGAAAACATAAAGAACATATGAGTTTGTTAATTCAATAATGATTAAAAAAAAAGAATTAAGTTTGATCTGCCTAACCCTTTGTCTTATTTTATCATATAGTTTCATTAATTACATATGGTACGACCGTCTAAAATGCAACAAATTATGAGATACTAAAAGTGATCAACTTTTAACATGTAAAATATAATTTAATAGGATAAAATATAAAGAGGAAACCATAGAGTATGCAATAAAATTTACCATAGTCTTAGCTATGGATTTAGTTACTCATAATAAAATAAACAACAAAATGCATTATAAACAAATCTATAAAAACTCAAATGAGAGCTTAAACTTAAGAAACTCAAAAGGGAAGGAAGACGACAAAAATTCTTGTTCTTTAGGGGTGCTCAATCATTTGTTCAGACTTTGAAGGAACACTCTTCATCTTTGTCAATGATTTCTCACTCTCCAATAACTCTCAATGGTTGATTAAGTCAGAATTCAGAAGAAGAGGATGATAAAGATGGTGTGAGAAAAAGATGTCTTTTATAGGAGGATAAGACCTCTTTATATAGGATGTGGAATTTGTCAGACCTGTAATTTATTATTAAGTAATCTATAATATTTTGTACTTGTTAAATATTAATTGAAGGATTATTTAGTATTGGAATAGATTTAGATGGAGTTAAAAAAATGAATAGTAATTTTGCCATGAACTGTAAGGCAGTGTTTATAGTAATTCCAATATGAACAATAACTCTGGCATGAATAGTGTCAATTTTTTTTTTTAATTTTGCTTATAAATAGAGATCCTTGCACGAAATTTTCACTTTTTCACACTTTTCCAACGTTCTAGAGAGACTCAAAGTCATATATCACTATTTTCTTTCATACTAAACCTTCATAAACTTAGATTTCTTGCCAGATATGAAATTCTACGTCAATTCTGAAGGATTTGAAGTAAGTTTCTATAAGTTTGAAGTTAGATTTACCGTTTATTTTTCTTCTTATTTTCTTTCTTATAAATAGTTGATGATATATTAGGAAAAATTTTGTTATAGAGCTAAAATTTCGATGGATCTTGCTTTAAAATAAGTAATATTTGGTAGATCTAGTGTGAATCGTTGTTCTAAGGTAAGAAGAGCTTACTTTAACTATTAAACGATATTTATAACGATTTGATATGATATTACAAGAAGTTTTGAGAAGATTTTATCAGATTTCTTGGATAAAAGCTATTTTTTATGCTGTAACTGTTGTTAATTGATTTAAAAGCTGAGATTTGGCTAAAATAGTATGAATTGTTTAGTTGAGTTGTTGAGAATATGATTTTATATGTGCTGCATCATACTGGGATATATGTCTTACATCATTATAGAGCCGAATTACATGTTTAGGTGGGTAGACGTGCAACGATAAAGCATGCTGAGCTGCACTGTCTGGATCCAGATACCGGAATGGGTCACTCCCGGACCGGCTCAGTTCCTTATGGATTACTTAGGCTGTAAAACTAGTTGGAATCGTTTTCATGTTGTGAATTAGATGGGCTGAGAATGCATGAGACTGTTGCTTTGAGTAATATTTTGCTCTATATATATTATTTTATTTTATTTTTGTCTCTGTTGTTGTGTGCATGTGTACTGTGATGTTCGTATGGTGGTACGTAAGTAGATGTAGCAGATGTTGCATCTGCTTCACAGGCTGAGAGGCTAGTGGAGAAGTGTTAAAAGGTTGGAGTCGAATAATTTTACATTAAAGTCATTTTTCTTATATTTTGTCTAACGCCTAAATTTAATTTTCTAAATAAATGAATTTTGTAAAATTAGGAATAATAAAATTTTTCAAAATAGAGATAGATTATAATTTGTATCAATCATTACTATAAGACTTAATGAATATATCAAATTTTTAAAATAAATCCCTAGCAGTTTCATCCAATTGGCCTTGAGTGTTGAATCCAGTGGCATGGGAAAGACACTTACCGTGCAAACAAACGAATATCGAATGCGACAGGGCTGGCGCACAGGCACTGACACAAGCCCTTTTGTAACTTCAATTGCTGGGTATTTGGATCTCTGCATGGAAGCTCACGGAAGTAACATGTGGCTGGTTGACTGTGATAGCAACAAGAAGGAGCAGCAATGGGCAATTTACCCAGATGGTTCTATACGTCCAGTGCAAAATACAAACAACTGTATGTGAAAGACGCTGATTCAAGTCTTAAAAAGATCATACTTTGGCCCTGGACTGGTAAGCCTAACCAAATGTGGCTTACTTTGTTTTAACGGCTTCATGCCTGGAGACGAATGCGTAATGTTTAAATAAGGGATTGTATCTACCCATCTGCAATAATAGTCATCAGCTTCATGCTGCCTTGCAATGTTTCTAATATGCTTAACTAGTTAATTTACGTTTTAGCAAGACCCTAAGCCATCAACCCATCAATTAAGAGAATCCAGATTGCTTCAAATCAAAATATATTTTGGAACCTAACTGGTTAAGTGGCACTCAAATCTTAAACATTCAGGAGTACCCGATACAATGGGAAAGCTAAAATCATAATTTGTAACCGATATATATTTTTCTTGTAATCTTATTTAACAAATATTTAACTATACAGGATAAAAATTTATAAATTAAATTTTTATAAAAGTTATAAAATTTAACGCATAAAATCATACAGTGTCGTTATAATATTAAAAGATAAATGCTAGGCACTATCCTTTTGGTTAAGGAATTAACGATGGATAATATTTTGTCAAGAAATATAATATACCTTTCATAATTTTTAATGCAGTTGGATTTTATTTTATTTTTATAAAAATATATCATTTTTAATTTCTTAACCGGTATCTTTAGAAGGACTAGAAATATAATGAAATGTAATGAAAGAGAACCTTATGTAGTAAAAGTTTCTTTCTATTGTGTCGATGCATTACGATGGAAGGACAGAAATATTTTATTTCATTATTTAGATAATAAATGGAGTGAAATAAATTATAATTTTTGTATTCCCGTAACACTCTTACTTTAAAAACACACATGACTAATTTAATTTTTATACATTACTGTATTATAACTTTATAAAATAATTATTACCAAATAAAAAATAATTATATATAAATTAATTATAAACTTTCATAAAAATAAAAATAAGAAAAATTATTTATAAAAGACAAGAAGTTTATTTTGGGTTTGGCATATCAACTAAGGCACACAAGACAAAAGAAAACTTTCAAATATCACTCCTTGTGTGTATCTAAGTTTTTTTTTTTTTTTTTTTTCCTTTTTAACAAAGTTTTTAGAAAACTTGACCAACTCGAGTTTGTATGTATTTAACTATTTATTTTTTAATATTTTGATTTACAAATATATTTATTATTTAAATTTATATATTTTATTTAAATATTATCAATCTACTTTTAATTTAATTATATGATTTAGATTGACAACCAATTTTAACTAAGTAAAAAATTAATCTAACAATGAATACGCGACTACTTTTGTTTTACTATAAAAAACTTACTTACAAAATCATTTTAACAAATATCATTTTCATAAAGTTTCAAAATTATAACAAATATATCTTACATTTTTATTTTCAGTTTATGAAGAATTCAATTGCAAATATATGTTCTTTTGAATATATTATCTCTATTAAAATTCCTTACCAACAATTCAAGAGAACTAAAATTATTTTAAAAAAAACCACAGTAAAATTTTTTTAACACTTTCAGAAAAATATTTTTTCATTAGAAATAATCATATTTCAAAATGAATGAAATTAAATGTCGATATATATATATTGGTGTGTGGATATTATTTATTTAATTTATTATTTTTATTCCAATATTTTATATTTGGATGTTCAATTATTGTATAATGTATAATTTTACATAAAAAATATATGGTTCAATAAATAAAGACACTTTAACAAGAGAATAACAATGATGATCATCTAAGAGGATGGACAACTGTGGATAAGATGTTAGAATTTTATATAAAAATTATTATGGGTTATAATTAATTGTGATTTTTTTATTTTATAAAAAATAAGCTAATATTATGATATATTAAAATTAAAATAGTAAAATCATTGATATTCCTTAAATACATAATTTAGTTTATAGCTAATAAGAT